TCATTTTCTCTTTGAAACACCTTAAAAGTGCCTTTTTTGGATTTCAGTTAGGAAACAAACTTAGCTTCGGAAACTTGGCTGAGACTGTTGTATTTTAATTTGGATTTTAAGCACAGCAGAGCAGGTGGAGACCGGGCATCATTTTCTCAGTCACTATTTTTGAGTATCCACAGGCTTCCACAGTGCCATCTAAAAATATCACCTTTCTAACACCCCTCACAGTGATGCGCCTCTGTTACGTCACGCTCTCACCTCTACGCTCCATTGTTGGCACGACATGTTGGCTGGGCTAATCAAGTTAAGCAACTCAAACTGGGACACATCTGAAGGAGAAAGCAAAGTGAACAATCACACACTCCCAATGTTCATCAAGAGTTTTTTTCCATTTCTAATTTTTGAGTTCTCTGTTACAAGACAAGATGTTTCCTTTAGACAATACTTACAAATAATTTGACAGCTTTGTCTGCAGTAAAATGGTGGAAGTGCAGATATCAAAGCAAAGGAGCGTATGGATTATGTACAAACTGAATTGTGTTGAAAAAGGGTCACGATCTGTGAGTGATCAGGGCCATTAATGGGCTAATCTAATAATCTAACACAGGGTCACATACAGAGTAAGATAAATGTGGCTGAGAGCATAGAGTTCAGGGAGAGTGCATGTGCCTTTAAAAACCACTGGAGGTGTTTGTGGGGATTTGAAGGTCACCTTGTTTGTGTTTACAAGAGAAAGGAAGATACCTGCACACATTAAGTATGGCTGTATGTTTCTTTAAGGCTTCTTTTATGCACTGTAACGAGTTTTATTTTGTCCTCATTGCACTGGTCTAATGTTTGTCCCTGCAAAAATAAAGGCAGCAATGAAAGAGCTGGGTGAAGGAGCCTCTTTTGTGTGTTTTGTTATAGTCTCTTCATATGATTCATTTTATTGACTTTCTTTAGTGTGACAGCAGGAAAAACATTTGCACACTATTTTTTATGTGTGTCTCAGATATACTGTACATTAAAATGCCACAAAAGTCCTCTGGTGAGGTTATGAAGGTCTATTTTTGTTCGTAGAAAGCTGAGAAAATATTTTATTTAGGATACTTTAAGAGAGAATTAGCATTAATTCTGATTATTGACTTGGTAGGTTTTTTTCAAGCAGCCATAATGAACCTTTTCTGCATCCCAGTTCCTCCAATGTTAAAGATTCCCCTTGTTCAACTTTATAATTCTGCCTAAAATATTTTAAATAGGTTAAAGGGAAACAAAAGAACTAATTCTATACATTTTATGTTTTGAAGTAAAAAAAGAACCCTAAAAAGAACTACCGTATTTTCCATCATATAAGTCGCATTTATTATGCGTCACCCATCGCGTTAATCATGCTAATGGTCAAAACAGATACATTTCATCTGGGCGGCGTGTCGCTATCCTTCCATCCATCCATCCATCCAGTTAGGAAACAAACTTAGCCATCCATCCATCGCAGCCGGAGCCGCTAGCTCTCGAGCATTCCTCCGGCTGCACCAGCTGAGTGAAGCGAGCGCACACGGGAGGACTCGCTATTGCAGTTCTTCGAAATTTAACAAGATTAACACCTAAAAACAATTATTTGTTTGCTCGACAATATAGCAAAGATGTGTATTAGTTGAACTTTTCCTTAATAAATGCAATTTAATGGTCAAAAAAGCTTCATTTCGCCTGGGTGGCGCAGCATCATCCATCCATCCATCCATCCATCGCAGCCGGAGCTGCTAGCTCTCCAACATTCCTCCACCTGTGAGTGCGCATGGGAGGACTTGCTGTTGCAGTTCTTAGAAATTTAACGCGTCAGTCAAAAATTGCGTTATGAATATGGGGGGAAAAAGTATATAAGTCGCTTCGGCGAATAAGTCGCATGACTGACAAATCTATGCAAAAAACTGTGACTTATACGCCGGAAAATATGGTAAGTTAACGTAAACTGATGCCTGAACGATCCTAAAACACATGTTATGTTTAACATATTCTATAGCTATCCAGAATGTATCAATAATGTGAATTCATCTAAAGCTAGATGTGTCATTTTCTTGTTTTATAACTTTCATTCTTTTTCATCCTATTGCCCTCCAACCTCGCCTACTGCTACCTGTCCCCTCACAGACAACGATAAAAGTTGCTGGAGTCATGCCCTCCTTCTCTTGTGCGAGTCCAACCCACCAGATAAGTCCTGACAGAGCAGACAGGGCGTAGAAGCAACTGTTTTAACAGCTATTACCAGGATAGGTGCTTGACAGATAGGTTGCCTGTGCATCTTCCCTCCTTTTCTAACTCTATTGCAGTATTTGCATTGTGTTGATGTGGGGATGGAGATAGTTTGGTGGTGGGCAGTGAAGGAGTGGCAATTTACCAAAGACGCTGAAGAAAAAAAGTGGAATTTGCCGTGCTGTCAGTAGGGCGCGTTTTCATTTCAGCCTTAAATTGACGAGTGTGCATGAGTGAAACATTTTCTATTTGTGTGCCTGATATCATTTGTCGCTCTCAACTCAGATAAAAGCAGAAAAAGATAAAATCACCCTAAAATAAACCATCTCAGAACTACATGTTCAAAGTAGCAAAATCTTCTCAAACTGAAAATCGCACACAATTTTCTTAATTATTTTTATTTATGACATTCGTTCAGCTGAATAAATAATTGTCTCATTTAGTTTTGTCATCTGAATAACACGTTGAACAGATCTTCTGCAGGATGTTCTATCATTTTAGTCCTTTAACAAAAAAAAATACACTTCTCCCAGAAAAAAAAAGAAATCTTGTGGTGTGTGTTCCTTTCTACGATCTTCAATCCAACTTATCGCTTTATTTTAATTGACTGTGGCTTCTCGGCTCCTGCAGTTGCTTTGTTTCGTAGTGATAAAGCCACAGAATGCAGCCGAAGCGGCTGTCATCGTGAAAAACTATTAGCTGTATGAGATAAAGACCAAATCCACAGCAAATGCTGCACTTTAAACATGAAGGTTTATGCTCCAATCTTTTTTCTTTGTTTTAATTTGGAGCCCGGCCAGATTGCAGGCATAATAGATGGCTGTAATTATGAGAAGATTGTGATACAATAGTACTGCATAATGCTTTTCACACAGGAGGTTTGTACTTTACACTAAAAGAGGAGTTCTTTAAAGTGTAACAGATATTAGAATATACCATAATGCAAAATTATAATGAAGATCTGGTCTCCTTGTTCTGTTTCATTATCAAGGACAATGTTTTTGAGCTACCTTATCACAAAAAGCAAGCTTACACGCAGGGGCGATTTTAGAATCTGACCTTTAGGGGTGCTCAGCCCAGTGCTGACAATGGCTCTTTGCTTGAACAATGTGGTAGCCATTGGCATTCGGATCATTCAAAATGTGGGGAGAACTCACACTGGTGGGGGAGTTTTCCTGCAGAAATTTTGAATAAAATAAGTTTCAAGTGTTCAAGTTGTGTTTATTTTTCATATGCAAGGTTAACACAGGGTTAACAGTACAAGGAAATGTTTAGGATAAGAAGAACCGATAGGACTCGCTAAAAAATATCAAAGAACAAACCAACAAGAAACAAAGCACAACTAGTTTTAAATTGGATTTAGGATTATTGAGCATGCATCAGGATAACTAGTTTTAAGCATTAGCCTTTAATTTTACCATTAAACATACGATGGAATGATGACAGAAATTAGAGGATTTACTTGCAGTTACCTTCGTGCAGATGAACATGTGGTACTTCCTGTTTATCACTGTTGTATTCAGCTACTCATGAGATCGGCCGCAGGGTTTTATCCATCTTTTACATTTTTCCAGACTCAGTTTAGGTTTTGGAAATGGAATAAACTGTATTCCACCCCCTAAAGAAGGGCTATTCAATTAAATTGCTCAGGGGGCCACAGTTACTGAAACTCAGCAGCTCAGGGGCTGGACATCCAGCAATTAAAGTCGTTATGTAAAAAACCAAGTATTACAATGATCTGTTACCTTTTAGATTTGTTTATTTTGTTCCATTGAATTATTATTATTAACCTTTATTTAACCAGGCAAATCCCATTGAGATCACTGAACTCTTCTGCAAGGGAGGCCTGGGCCTGAAGGTAGCCTAACATGCTGTGGGAGGAAACTGGAGTACACGGAGAAAACCTATGCCAGCACGAGAAGAACATGCAAACTCCACACAGAAAGACCCCAGGTCCAACCGGGGATTGAACCCAGGACCTTCTTGCTGTGAGGCAACAGTGCTAACCACTGAGCCGTCGTGCTACCTTGGCACAAACCCTGTGAGAAAAAATTCCTATCAAGAGCTCATACACAGAACAAGTTCTTGCAGCGCACATGAGAACGAATCCAAAAAATGTTAAAAACAAAACAACTGGACTTTATTTGTAACTGAAGACGTTTCGTTTCTCATCTGAGGAGCTTTCTCAATTCAAAGAAATAAGGAATATGGGATTCAAGTTAGGAGTGGGATTCTGTGGCGTTCTCCAAGCTTGCATAATGCAGATTGACACATGCAGATTGACCTCTCACTCTTCACAATAGAGAGAAATATACGTGAGAACGAAATGACGTAAAATTACGTAATTTCTATCACACAACTGAGAAGATGACAGCGAAGTTCCTAATGTCTCATGGAATATAAATCAGCCATAATTTTTTATAGTGAAAAAAAAATAAACAGGGATTGGTTTGAGATAAGAATGGTATCACAGCTACTTGAGTATAAATCAACCTTAAAATGCAAAAAATTTAAAATAAAAATCATAAATGCATTAAACAGAACCCAAAACCCAAACCCAGAACCACCTAAAATATATATATATATTTTAACTTTGTCAGGGGTGCTGAGTTAAAATTTAGGGCTGCTTGAGCACCCCTCAAAAGAGGCTAAAATCGCCACTGCTTACATGTAAATGGGATTACTTCCCATGGACCAAAGTATTGCAGAAAGTTGTGTGTCTTGTTAAATCTGCAGAACCCAACAAACTAATTCTTTTCTGTGTTTGTTTTCAGCCTAAAGCAACACCAGCAGTAAGCCACCCCTCACGAAAGAAGACAACTTCAAGCAACTTCAGAAAAGAGGGCGATGTCAGAAAGTAGTGCAGAGTGACTTTATTACGTGGGTTTGTACGAGTGTGTGCATACAGGTGTGTTGCTGGCATCTATGCACACATCTGAAGTGTGTGTGTGGAGGGGTAATTGTGTGGTGATTTGTTTATCTGAGTAATATTCAGCACTTTGTGTTTGATGAGCTCAACACAATCTTCAGAGGACTCGTGGCTGAGGATGGAACTCCTCCGTGAACCACAATCTTAAAATTAAACTGATGTCAGTGTGTTGCCCAGCCTGGTAATAACCATTATAATGATAGTCATGGAACAGAAGTAATAATACCTTTGTAACTCACAGTCCCCCAAGTGCTCTGACAGTGATCCGAGTCTGGACACAGTCTTCTATTTGTTCATGTTTCTAATAATGCGGTGATAACGTCGTCGGCTCACTTTCAGACCACTTGAGACCGACTCGGACTTTAGAATCCAAGAACATGAACAACATCCAATGGCCTCAACCATCACCGACTGCATGACCTGAGAAGTTCAGAATAAAGGAGTGTTTTAATTTTTATTTTATCAGTGTAGTTGATTGGTTTCGCTTCAAGTGACATGCCACTTTGAAACCTATCTTGATGTACTCCACATATTCAAAATGGATCATAAAGCAGCCAAGACATTTTCAGACTCCTAAAGCGACTGTGACATGCAACAAATACAAAAAGTGGAAGAAAACATCTTAATATTTAAGAAATTTGGCATAATGCACGATTTTTATTCTTTTGTCGCACAACTGGCATATGTTCTTCAATGAGGCGCAGCCAAAGTGAAACAGGAAGTGACATCAAAGGGAAACTCCCTCGTCTTAGTTTATTGAAAGATAATTTTAACTGCTGCTCTTCTTCTCCTCTCTCTGATAGCGAATCAAAATAATCTGAAGGAACATCAGATTCTTCTCTACTGTTAACCATCGTAGCAATGCTCTGTTAACATGCAGGTGTTCCTCTTTGTTATCACTTCCTGTTACTGCGCATGCGAATAGTTCAACAACTGTTCTTCACCGTGGCGTGAAAAATTTTTTGCAATATGTTATCAATGTCATCCTTCCAAAAATGCATTCGTATTTATTACAAAAATTTGATGTCACGGGCACTTTTAGAAAGTTTGTATTTTTCTGTGATTTATTTCCTGTTGAAAACATTCCCATGACAACAAATACTGATGTCAGATCGAAGTTGGAGGTGACACAAACTCTACAACAAGAGCAACTTGTAGGAAAAATTTATTTATTTCTTGTTGCTTTAGGTAAAAAAAAAAAAAAAAGCTTTTTTTTCTTACCAATGTAGCACCCAATGCAACTGGACTGTATTTCAATGCATGCAAATGTTGCATTCACTTGCCTTTTGGAAGCCTTTTTATTGTGCTGCTTTCTAGGACTAGCTTTGCATTCCATCACAACACATGTAACAGAAGAGGTCACGACTGGGGCTGGTTCATCCTCGACATGTTTCTCATCTAAAAAAGGCAATTATTTTGGTTCATCGCCTGTCCCTTACAGTTTTTCAGTGCCATCCTTAGCATCTTCATGGTGCCCGTTCAGTGAGTTTCAGTGATGATTTGTCATAAAAACAAACTAAAAAAAGATGGGCTCTGCTTTCCTGTTCTGTCAATGAAAGTGGCACCTAGCAGCGACTGAGAAACACCACGTGCTGTCCTCTGTTAGTTGTTTTTATGCTGCAAACACTTTATTTTTTGTCTGCTCATCTCACAATTTCGAAGATAAACTAAACACGGTTACAAACTATTTTTCCTTCACTGGACAAACGAATGAGTATTGGTTTTTATGCAACTGTGCTGGGATTTTAACAACCATACAACGTGGAAACAATTTATCAAAGAAGAAAAAATGTTGTTTTGCAAAGACAAAGTTTTGTAATCGAATTGTTTTTCTGCACCGACTCACACATGGAACAGTCTCTTATAAATATTACTGAAATTTGTGCACACTGGATGGAGAATACACTGTATTTTGGTGGATTATGTTTTTAGTAGATGAAACATTTAGTTAAATAAACCGGGAAGTAATGACAATGGACCAAATTTCAGCACATAGACGACAGCAGGAGGTCACATTTGCTCAGAGGAGTTTTAATACGCGCAGTTTTTATGAAGAAATCTACAATCACCATGAAAAACATCTTGTGTGTGTCTACATCTCAAAAAACTGCCCAAACAACGATGCAAGAATACAAATAAAGCTGCTGGACCTTCAACGTCGTAAGAAGACGACGGAAGCAGAAAGACTTTTGGCTTTTACTTCAGACTGTTTGTGTGATGATTTGCACTGACTGCTCCTGTTCTGGTTTATTCACAATAGACGTGCGTGTCGAAAATGTGAAGGCTGACTGTGCCATGAGTCACATAATTTAGTAGATGTTACATAATGTATAACAGAGATGTATTTATGGGTTTTTAAAAAAGCTGTGAAAAGATGCTTTCTAGTGGGCGTCAGTATGTGAAGCTGTTAGCTGCACTGACGGTGGGAGACTCTGTTAGTTGTGAGCACATTTGTAAACACACCTGATGATGAATACAATGAACTGACAACTATATCTTCTCTTGCAAAAAACAGACTTGCGTTTTCCTTTTTCCGTTTATTTACACCACCATGGAGACAGGAAGGAAATTATTTCTCTAAAATGCAGATCTTTGAGGGTGGCACGGTGGTGCAGATGGTACAACTGTCGCCTCTCAACGAGAAGGTCGTCGGATCGAATCCCAGCCAGGGGGCCATTCTGGGTGGAGTTTGCATGTTCTTTCCGTGCATGCGTGGGTTTCCTCCTGGTACACCGGTTTCCTCCCACAGACTAAAAACATGAATGTTAGGCTGATTGGTAACTCTAAATTGCCCCTAGATGTGAGTGAGAGAGTGAATGGTTGTTTGTCTCTGTGTCCCTGAGATGGACTGGAGGACTGTCCAGGGTGTCCCCTGCCTCTCGCACAGTGACTGCTGGATGTGAGCACCAGTGACCCCCATGACCTGAAAAGGAAGAAGCGAGTAAAGATAATGGATGCCACAGTTTTGAGGTTTGCGGAATCTCTTACATGTTCATAATTCTTTAACTTGTGTTCCGTACGTACGGTAGTTTTTCAAGCGTCTCAGCTAAAGAAAGTTGTATGAACCGAAATCAACAGGTAGTTCAGTAACAGCTGTTCTTACTGACCTTATATAAGTACTGTTGTACTCATCTTGGATTACTGTAGTCTGAATACTACGGCAGTATTCGAGGTGTTCAAAAATGTATTACAAATTAAAAATAAAAAAGTTAGAAATTTTAAAATGGGCATTTATTAGAATTCAATCATGTAGGATTTTATGAAAATTTGGACTAGCAATGCCAAAAATTACATCTTTCTTAGACTTGAAGATAATTCAGTTCACTAGCACCAATTCACTACAAAAATCCTCTTGGGCTACTACACATTAAAAGTCCAAATCATTTCCAAATTCAAATCCAATTAAAGTCGATTTGTTTTTCAGAATCAGAATAAACTTTATTATCATTGCACCGAGATACAACGAGAACATGTTCGTACAGTTGTCTGAAAGATGGGTGGAGTGCATGAAGCTAGTTAGTAAAAGCTGTGTGTCTAAGGAGCCAGCAGATTGTATCAGATCTTCACTTCATCGCAGTTTCCCATCCTCAGTGGGTGACAGTGGAAAGGAATGACTCCCTTTTAACAGGACGAAACCTCCAGCAGAACCAGGCTCAGGATGAGTGGTCATCTGCCTCAGTCCTCTGTGGGATGAGAGGATAAGGAACAGACATGGACAAACACAGAGGGATTGGCCAGTGTGTAGTTCCTATGCGCAAAGAGGGACAATCACAGGCAGCAATAATTTTATGTAGAAACGTGGAGAGCAGGGAGATTAAAAACAGGATCAGAATTAGGAAATGTGGTCAATCAGATCCTCAAGCAGTTTAAGTCTAAAGCAGCACAACTACGGGATTGTGCAGGAAACCCAATCCATCTCTTAACTATAGGATTGATTAAAAAAGAACGTTTTAAACCTATAAGTATAACCTAAAAGTACACAGTGTTAGTCTCATGCACAAAAACTGGAAAATAGTTCCACCAGAGAAGAGCCAGATAATTAAAAACTTGTCACCCATTCTACTTTTATAAACCCTAGAAACCACACGTAAACTGACAATCTGAGAAGGACCTAAACACCTAGAAAATGACTCTACCAATGGCATTTATAATTGCTATGGCAACAGCTCCAGTATCTGTGTCATTCTATAAGCAGTCTTGAAAAAGTAAAGGACGCATGCAAAACCGTGAACTTAACAAAAAATCTTTATCAAGGAAAAATGCAAATACAAAAAAGACGATACAAAATCAATTATAATTTCTTTTCTTTCTTTTCAAAAGAGAAAACGCGGTATACACGGTGAAAAATTGTATTGCTCCATGTTTATCCTTCTGACGTATGTATTTTTTCTAACATAACACCGGAAGTAAGCCTTTTCAAAATAAAACTAAATTTCACACTAAAGCTGACCTGAACTAATATTAACCTTGCTTACTAAATTGGTAAAAATTAAAAAAACAAAAGGCATTGCACAAAATATAATCTAAATATTGCTTATTTATTTCTCTAACAATACTTTTTGATTAAAGTCTGTAAAGCTGTGTGAACACAGGTGAAAGTCCACACTGGGTATAACAAACATGAACACGTGCACACTAGTTGGCTTTCACTTTCGTGATCACCCTAAATCATAAAAGTGTAACAGCAAAGTGTTTAGGTGGTGTGGTTTGAAGTGTTTTTGTGGTTCTAGTTAGGACGGCCTTGGACGTCACCTAAATGCACAAAAAGAGCAAAAATAATGAAAAAGATGAAGTTGCTCATATTGTCCCTGTAGCTTCAAACCATGGATCTGGACACAATTCTTATTGAACTATTGCTGTTTTTACTCTAATTATTATTTAAATA